CTATCAGTTTAAGTAATTATTCATCCTAATGGTGCAGTGGTGAATTTAAAGATTGTCTTCATACCTCTTATAGCTTTTGAATTAGTGATTCTGATCGATAACATCAGGTAATTATCTTTTTCCATTTATAGCTTGCAAAAATTTATACTCTACATGTTGCAAATCTCCCTAAACTTGGTCTGTCCCTAGCCGCTTTAATTGTGACAACTTTGGACTGCCTTTGTTGTTCCAGTGTTATCAAATATCTGCCATGGCGGATATACATGGCGGGTTTTGGGCCCGCCACAATGGTAAATATTGACCGATATTGCGGGTTTTCCGCTATAATCCATTATAATGGCGCCGCTTTGGTGGGATTTTGGCTATCTTCCTTGGACCTCTATCCACCGTCGACAACACCGCTTTGTTCATTGCAAGCCTTTAGCACCTTCATTGTGTTGGGTGTGAGTGATGGGGAAATGGATTTGGTGCTTAACAAGCATTGCACAGTTTTTATTATGTTGTTAATCTCAAATAGCGTCATGTAGCACCGGCCCCTTGAAATGCTATATCGCATAGCATAATAGCCGCCATTTCAAAGACTAAAATCAGTGTTCAAAATAAATATAAATACTCAAAGAAATAGAAAAGTACACAAAATTAAAGAAACCTTCATACTTAAGAATCTAAAATACAGAGCAATAAAACTTAAACCTAGAAGAAAAACATAACAAATCCGAATCAAAAGTAGGAAAACCCAAGGTTTTCAAGATCAGGATCTTGCATAAGATCGGGAGGGGATAGTAAGATCGTAAAACATACGATCATTACTAAAATTGGAAGCTCCTACCCAATAGGTTTTGTAAGATCAAGAGGGGTAGCAAGATCGCAAAACATAAGATCGTAACAAAAATCGTAAGATATTCATATTGCTAAAACAAAAACTAATACTATATATTTGAAGTTTTTTTACATTATGTTTTGTAGGCAAGTGTATTCTAGGGAAAATGGCCTCCGCCGAACCATAATTGTTGCGCCTCAGAATCTTGTCATCCTCCCGGGCTTGTAATGTTGGTGGTCGGAAAACGGCCGATCATGGCCGGAACTGGCCAAGATCACACATAATCAACGGTTTAACGATATTTTTTTACAATTTGGCTATAACACACACGATTCTACTTAAGATCGGAATCGTTGGGGGTGAGTGAGATTGCAAAATCGTGAGGTTTTAAGATCTAGATCGGGATCTTGACAACCTTGAAAACCATAATGATTGTTTGTGGCAAAGAAAATAATAGGCATGAAGAACATAATTTTACTCATAAAAGGGTGTCACAGTCATTTATACCCTTAGAAAAGACAAGGGGTAGAAAAAAAGGCTTTGAGGAATTTCTCCCCAAAACCCTAGTAGCGGCTTGGATAGTGATTTGGTCTGCAAATAGTGGCAGCTACACCCGCTATGTTGTTGAGGGCGACTTGCGAGTCAAAAGTGTCGCGTGGAGCCCTATCACCTCTACACTATTTCGCTATAGTGCTGCTATAGCACACTATTGACAACATAGGTTTTTAATGTGGACTTCTGGATTTAATCTAACAGTTGAGATCTTAAAACTGATTTTGTTGAGTTGTAATTCAAGCAGTCCAATCTTAAATTAATGACTGAGATTGTTTCCTGTGTGCAACTGCGTGTTTATTCTGCAGCAGGCAATTCAGATCTGAGTGAGGGGTGTCTTTAGTCTTACATGGCTTAGGCTTTGTTTGGGAGTTTGGAGGGGAGGGTTTTGTAAAAGGAAAGTTTTTGGGCTATGGCGTATATACATGACAGTTTTTGGGCTCTCCGCGATGGTAAATATCGGCCGATATTGCGGGTTTTTCTGCTATATTCTGCTTTAACAGTGCTGCAAAGCGGCCGGTATGGCTGGTTTTTACGACACTGTTGTAATATTAGTTGGAACTGTCTTAAAAAATTGACAACAGAGTCGCTACAATCATTCAACATTACGAAACGACTTACAAAGTAACTTACATATTTGGGTCTTTTCTGAAAATAATTTTGATTGTTGAAAAGTGTCATAACCTATAAGCTTGTAATAATTAATTGTATAGCTGCACATGATTAGACTCCATGTTAATCAAATATATAACGTTCAATACTTTTACTCTTCTATCAAACTGGTTCTTTATTGATAAAAATCCATCTTTATATAGGATGTGTAGAGCTTTGATGCCCGGAGACGAGGAAAATATGACGGATGAAGCAGTATGGGAAACTCTTCCTGTAAGACATCATTCATTAGTTGATTAATTGATTGATTAGGGATATACTCTGAATTTGAATAAAGGCCGCCCGATGATACTATTGAACTGAGCACGTAAAGCTGTATCTGACATCTTTTTGGGCATTCAATTCATTGTTTGATCAACATTCAAGTTGCATAGTATTTCACATTCAAGTTGCATAAAGTTTTAAGTGTTTTACTTCGTAGATTATGTAGTCTTACTTTTCTATTTTTCCAATGCTCTTTACCTAATTTAAATTGTATGATTTTGTTTTCCAGCACTTCTGGATTTCGATATCCATGGTCTTCTTTATTGCTGCCACAGTGTTCACTCTTTTAAAGATATGTGGTAAGCCTTAACTTCCTCTCAAACAATTATTCACTGTCAGAATGTGATTGATATTTGATACTCCTCAAACATTTTTGTTACTAATAATTTCGCGATTACCTGCAGGTGATGTTGCTGCTCTAGGCTGGTGGGACTTGTTTATCAACTATGGGTATAATCAATTTCTCTTGATAGACTATTTTAATCATTTGGTATTAAGCTTGTGCTTTTTCCATCACGAAGTCATTTTATCTTTTTTGCAGCATTGCACAGTGCTTTGCGTTTCTCGTTTGTACAAAGTGGCACAATCCTACAATTCATGGAAACTGTCAAATTACAGAACCATGTTCGTCTTCAAATACCATAAGATATCTCGAATGGAGTAGAGAAGGCATAGTTATTTCTACCGATGAAGATGTGCAGCAAAATCCGTTTTGCAGTCTGCAAGACATAGGCGGACATATTATGAAAATTCCGTTAATTGGTTTCCAAATACTACTTTTTATGCATTTAGAGGTATAAATGCTAACAATAACCGTATCAGTATTGTTCTCATTCTCTGTTTTTCTTTCTTTATATTTTGATATTTAAACTTTCAATTTCAGGGAACACCATTGGGTGCAAAAAACATACCGATTTGGGGAATTTTTTCTCCCCTTTTTCTGTTGCAAGGTGCTGGTGTATTATTTGCAGCATATAGGTTAATAGAGAAGATTGTTCTATTACTCTATAATGGAGATGTTCCTAGAAGCTACTCTTCTATAGCATCAAAATCCCGCGACTGCTTCGGGTTTTTCCATCACGGATCAAGGTATCATCAGTGTATATGTTATTAGCTAGAATTTTTGTTTATCTTTAGGCATAGATTCTCCGAGGAACCTAGAAATTCATAAATTGTTGTTGAACTAATATGAAGAAATTTTCGTTGACTGCACTTTTCCTTTTTTGACAGGTTGCTGGGTTGGTGGTCAATAGATGAAGGAAGCAGAGAGGAAGAAGCTAGACTTTTTTGTGCCGGGAGTTCTGGGTCAGTACTCTATGTTACAATATGCCTTTTTTAGCTATGAAGCACGGACACTGAAAACACGACACCGACACTGACACGACACCTGTAATATTTTGAAAAAATGAATAAATTAACGTAATCACAAGCAGTGTTATTAAATATCCGTAATTACAGCACTGGTAAATATTGGCCGATATTGCGTGTTTTTCCGCTATAACGGCGCCACAAAGCGTCTGGTATGACGGGATTTTGGCTCTCCGCCATGGACAACTGATCTCAAATGTTGATGTCAGTTTCAAACACCGACACTAACACTTTCTTTTCCAGAGTTGTCGGTGCTATAGGGTTTTTAAGCGTATAATAGTGTTAATGTGCTTGCAATAAGGTTTGCATTATTTTGACTGTATAATGATGTATGATTTGATTTACTATTTAGGTATAATACTTTTTCCCCCGATACAGTGAAGAAAATGCCTAGAGGAGAACTTGTTGAGGAGGTTAAGACATTGTTTCCTTCTATCAAAATATATAGCTACCACATTATTTAAGAATAAGTTAAAACAGTGTCTAATCTTTTTCATACATTTCGATAACCCGCCCTTTTATAACTCGCAGATTTGGAGACTTCAAGCTGCACTTGGTGAGCAGACAGAAGTTACAAAATCTAGCCAGGAGGAATATGAAAGACTTCAAAATGTAATATTTTTCCGACCTTGATCGTTCAATAGAAGTTATAACAATAGAAGTAAATAAATCACTTAATAAGAGAACAGTTGTCTCAGTTTAACTTCACAACCTTTATCAGTTAAAAGTAGTTTTTAAATTCACTCGTAAGTAGCGCTCTTGTTAGATAGTAGGTAATTTATGTTCATTGTTTGTGCTTGAATGACTGTTAACCACACGGGATCTAACACGCTTTAATTTGATTGCTAAATATATCAGGAGAAGATCTTATGTAGAGTTTGCTTTGAAGAGCAGATTAATGTGGTCCTTCTTCCTTGCAAGCATCACGTTCTTTGCAGGTAATTGCTTACTCAAATACTTTTATGTCCCTGTCAATATTTAATGTGGTGTTTCTCAAATATGTTATGCTTAAAGAAATTGATTGTTTTTATGTTTGTCGCCTTTGTTTGACAGCACTTGCTGCGAAAAATGCAAGAAGTGTCCTATCTGCCGTGGTACCATTGAAGAACGGATGCCTGTATATGATGTGTAGACTGTAGACCGAGTTTGCTGTAAGATATATAGATATTATGGCTTGTGGTTTTAGATGAGGCAAGCACCAAGAATTATTAATTTCTCTGCTTATAGATATGAATGATGAGCATACAGAAGTTGTACATAGTTTTAAACATTCATTACAAGTACCTAGACAATGCAAGATATTTGTTGAACTAGGAATGCCACCATGCAGTTAAGCAAGCATTCATATTGCATTCATCGATGCATGTTTGTAGTTAGCAAGAGAATAGTAAATACTAAAAAAATACATGTGATAGTCAAAGAAAAAACTTGGTTGAATGTTTGGTTGAGGTTGCAGCCATTAAGTTTCTACTCTGTGAAGTATCAATCAATTTGGTTGACATTGAGGTTGGTTCATGATATTGCACTGTGTTTTCTGTATGCCCCCATTGCCCCTATCTAATTCTCTGAAATCCTATATAAATCCCAAGATATCCTTTAAGCTCTGTCAAATTCGAATGCATTAATATACAACAAATCTCTTCATCAAAAACGTGTTAAATACAAGTATACATCTGCCTTCCAAAGTCTAAACACACCCTTCAGCAATTGAAATTTGGATACACCTTTTAGAATTTAATAGTCACGATTTTTGCATAACCCTATTTTAAATCTATGCATTCATAATCATAGCACATATTTTTCTTAAACTCATTTAAAAATTTCTTGAATTCTTATTTAAGATTTTTGCTTGCAAACCCAATTATATTGTTTTTCGACATCAAAAGATGAAAAATTGTTCGAAATTATAGATAATGTACATGTCTATCACTGATAATCATTAAAATATACTAGTTTTTTTTTTGTAACATGAATGCTATCAGGAAATTAATTTGGATCTTTGAAGGATTGGTCCGAATATTAAATTTTAGATACTTTGAATGGTCCGAATATTAAATTTTAGATACTTTGAATGGAACTTTTCATGAATATATATATACATTATACACCAATACTTTAGTAATGGAGCTCTCCGGTTCTTTAGAGAAATGGAGAGAATCTCAGCTCTTTTAAATGTGAATGAGATTTTCTTATTTTTTTTATTAGTTGTATATATATGGTGCACTCTAATGTTGTTAACAAAACTATTGTATCTAAGGATGGTGACCCAAAACATTTTCAATAAGGTGTTGATGTTGGAAATGAATTTTCTAATAAATAAGAGTTTACTTTACGTGAGGATATGTTTTAATGGGTCCGCACAGAGGCTGTCAAATTGAGATTTTATATTTTTAATAGAAGGTCAGATTTTGGTTCTAATAGATAGAAGACAAACATTTGTTACGGTGAGATGCGAAAGATGTGACCAGCATAATAACTTATACGAAAATTGAAATTGAAACAAAAAAATATGGATATCCTTTTATGTTGTGTAAATACCATAAATCAAATACCACGTGGACATTTAGTATGATTTGTGATATACATAATCATGGATTATGTCATAAGTCAGTCGGTCATTCAAGTGTATGTCCTATGAATTCTGAAATGAAGAAACTTGTATCTAATATGATATTGAACATAGTTGAGCCCAAAAACATACTCACAACTTTAAAAAGGAAAATACTCAAGAGTGTCTCAAATATTGAGTAAGTATACAATGTTCGGCGCTGAAACAACAAGATAATAAAAGGTCCAAGATTCGAAATGCAACAATTGTTGAAATAGTTGGATGACCATCATTATCTCCATAAGTACAGTCTGTGAGGATGGAAAAGTCGTTTGAGATATATTTTGGGTTTATCCTGATTCCATCAAATTATTCAACATATTTGTTGGAACAAAAGAGAGAAAACTATATTTTGAATTTGTGAAGTTGTTATTACTAAAGTTGTTAATCATATAAAACTATACAAAGTCATGCCTATTTACAGGCGATCAAGGCCTTAGCCCAAAATATACAACCTATCCTAAAATATATAAAGTTATATTTTGGTTTCGACACAACAATTATATGATGTATTTGACTCTGTCGAATATAACTGACTTCTAATCCTTTGATTAGGTCGAACACACCTATGTCGAATACAAACTTTTCTATTAAAAAAATAATTATAACTTCTAACACACCTCCTAATTCATGTTTTTGAGACTTCTCATCCGAATGCTTTTCTTCAATTCATCGAACCTGACTTTCTTTAGGCGTTTGATGAGTATATCATCTAGTTGCCATTATGTCTCACAATGTTCAATTTCAAGCTTCCCTTTATTTACTTGACACCTAATAAAATGATACATTCTCTCTGTGTTTACTTCGACCATGTCATATAGGATGATTGGCTAGGTCGATAGATGACTTGTTATGTACAAACAACTTCATTTTCTTAGGTTTCATGATCTTGAGCTCTTCTAGCACCATCTCTATCCACACTTATTAACATGCTGCATACAACATAACCACGTACCCAACTTCACATGATGACAAAGACATCATGCTTTGCTTCCTTGAACTCCAAGAGATTGGAACGCCTCCTATCATAAATAAGTAGTCTGCAATACTCTTCTTCTCGTCTTGATCTCTACTGAAATTTGAATCAGTATAACCATATACTTCTGCATCTGTACTGATCTTCTTTTATCTTGGCATCAGTATATCATGATCAATCACAACCTTTATGTATCTCAGCACCCTCTTCACCATAATGAGATGACATTCTTGGGGTTTCTCTATGAATTTGCTTAACATTCCAACACCTTGACAAATGTCTGGCCTTGTGTTGCAAAGTTACCTCCAAGGATCCAATTATTTGTTTGTACAATGTTACACTTACAAACTCATCATTTGTCTCCTTCTTCAACTTTGCTCCAGTTTCTAATGGCGCGGAAGCTGCATTACAATTCCTCATCTTGGACCTCTTCAAGATATCTTGGGCATACTTCTTCTGGTGCAAGAACACTCATTCACCAGTGTCTTTGAACTTCACCCCTAAGAAATATGACAAGTTTCCTAGGCCGAACATTTCAAACTCGTACATCATCTTCGACTTGACTCTACTTATCTCTACTTCATCTGCATTTGTAATCAATAAATCATCTACATACAAGCATAAAATAATTCGACTGACCTTATATGCATCTTTGACACACACACACACACACACCATGTTTAGAGACACACTTTATGAAACCTGCTTCGATCATGAGGCTATCTATTCTATTATTCCAAGCCTTCGAGGCTTGTTTCAAGCCATATAGAGCCTTCCTCAATCTGTACACCTTTAACTCATGCCTTCTGATTTCAAATCTCGGTAGTTGACTGGTGTTGCACCCCAAAATTTGCCCTCCTAATTTCTTTTATTTTGGCTTAGACTTTTGCATTCATCTGCATTTATTCCATTAGGTCACTAACAGGGCATACATTTCACTCAATATAGCTCTAAGGTTCAAAGTTCAGTGGTTGTGCGATATTAGGGTTTCACAATGGTTAAGGCGTTCGTATCCAATAAAGACTGATTTCTTATTCAGGTAGTGAGCAATGGAATTAGGGTTGTGACTTGGGTCGTTGAGGATTTCTTTCTTCATCAAGCCGCGAGGCTATCAGGGTTTATTTCCCCATATGTGACCAAAGCTAGGTTTTTTGGCAATTGTTTTCCAATCGGGTTTTTCGTCAAAGATCATGAGATTAAGGTTTGTTCTTATCAAGGGACTTTCTCAGAAAGCTTTATATTGTGCGTCAGGAATTATCATCTTCAAAGGAATTTATTAAGGATTTTAGCCTTACGTTTTCAAGTGGACATGTTTGTGACTTGAATTCCAAAAGTTGAAGCACAATACGAAATATGATGCTAGAGAGAATTAATTGAGTCAGGCGAATATGAATAAAGGCTTTGATTTTGGGCAAAGTCGACATGGAGAGGTTGTTTTCTTGACTGAGTTCATGCAGGAATATTATTGATTCGATTGAATGTTGTGTCATATCTTGAGTTCAGGACTGGTTCATTGAATATGCAAGTTGGTTGAAATTCGTTCACTGAGTCATGAAGTGAAGTGTTTAGAGGATAATCAAATGGTATTAAAGAAATCTAAGCGTTGGTTTGTTTTCGAGAATTTGATTCGGGCGAGTTTGGAGACCTTAGTCATAAGGGTTTCTTGGAACTCAAAAGATAAGAGAAAAATGGCAAGGCATAATCATTCATTATAATTCCATTCAAGTGGTTATTTTGGTTCAAGTTGTCACTTTCAGTGTCATTCAAATACCGTTCAAAATCAATCCAAATACACTCCAAACCTTCATTTACATCATTCAAATTCAATATCTCAATATTCATCGTTCAATGTTCACTCAAAAATTCATGTTCATTCAACCATTTTTTTAGGCATCATATCATGTAGATGTTTTCAAGCAATTCATTTTGAATTTACAAATCCATATTACGGTCCAAAGAAACTACAAAAAAATTGTAAGTTACACAAAGCTACAACTGTTGGAGGCTAGTTCTAGTGAATTCAGTGTTACTCGCAACTACTTGGACTGGTTGACTGCACTGCCTTGGGGTGAATACAGTGATGAGAACTTTGATGTTACTGGTGCACAAAAGATTCTTGATGAAGACCATTATGGATTAACTGATGTGAAGGAAAGAATATTGGAATTCATCGCTGTTGGGAAATTAAGAGGGACTTCACAAGGAAAAATTATCTGTCTCTCTGGTCCACCAGGAGTAGGAAAAACAAGTATTGGCCATTCAATTGCCTGTGCCTTGAATCGTAAGTTCTTCCGATTCTCTATTAGAGGATTGGCTGATGTGGCTGAAATCAAGGGGCATCGTCGAACATATATAGGTGCTATGCCAGGAAAGATGGTACAATGCCTTAAGAATGTGGGAACAACCAACCCTCTTGTTTTGATTGATGAGATTGACAAATTGGGCAGAGGACATGCTGGTGATCCAGCAAGTGCTTTGCTAGGGCTCCTGGATCCTGAGCAGAATGCCAATTTTCTGGACCACTATCTTGATGTTCCCATTGACCTATCAAAGGTTCTTTTTTGTTTGCACTACAAATGTAGTGGAGATGATACCAAATCCCCTATTGGATAGGATGGAGGTTGTTGCTATTGCTGGGTACATTACTGACGGAGAAAACTCACAAAGGACAGAGAGAAAGTACCAGAAAACTGACCAAGTCCACGGGAAATGTTAAACGAACTTCTGAAAATCCCTCTGCAAATTCATTTCAAAAACCACACACGTTCATCATTTTTCTGCAACTGATTCTTCAAGAGAGCAATATCGGCTTCATAAACTAGATCCCAAAACAGTTCTGTTTGAAAATAGAATCAGGCTGCTACAGGAATCAGCCCTGCACTGGTTAAGTGAATCCGAGACTGAAGAAAAAGTCATAAAAAGGGTCCAAGCACAGGTTGCACTGCATAATGAAATCAGAAGAAAACATTAGAATAGA